GGTGCGAACAAGTACACGGAGGAGGTGCTGCTTGCTGTTGTCGTTCTTTAGCTTGTTCCTCTTTCTTGTAGCCCCTATAATGATGGGTGCGATACCTCTCCTCAATCAGCTGAGGACGCGGTTTGGTCTAAATAATCAGAATTATATAATGAATTACTGTTAAAAGTTGAATAGAATAAAGTAAAAGTCATCTCCAGTAATGGAGGGATGTTTGTAAGAGGTGATGAGGTGATGTCCTAATCTTGAAAATGAGCAGCAGCTCTTGAAACTTCACCAAAACATTATGGGAATGTAGTTTTCTGGGAACTACACGCAGGATTTCAAAGGCACCACTTTTCTCAACCCGGGTTGAAGGGATTTTATAAAGGATAAGCATATGATAAAAGTTCGATATCATGCCCCTGCCTGAAATCACAGATCGTACACTCTTATGAGTTGTTTTGTAGACCTTTTTACTTACGACTTCTTCGAGTTCCTTGCTCGGCTTCTCATAGAATCTTTAAGGTTTACCCTTGAAAATAAAAAAGAGAAGTAACAAATGTTCGGTTTACAACGTCAGAGTTCATCTTTTTTTGTTTTTAACATCACTTGCAACTACTCTATATGAAGGGAGGCAATCAAAGACGAGAGCTTCATATGCCCTTTTTGTAATTATCATGAGTCCCAAGAAAAGAAGAGAAATTTCACGTCATCAGAGCCTACAAGAAAATATAGGGTTATGGTTAAAATAGCTTAATTGTGTATTATTATAACTCAGCTTCAGTGTACCGACACCGAACCACTGTGAGATAAAGCACGATAAACATGTTCTCTTGTTTTTAGGAGGTTAGCTCAAATTAAAGCCATAAAAGAAGGTAGAAAAAAGGTGGAGCTTTTTTTATAAACAAAAAAAGTGCTCCCCATTTTGTGGTTGTCATTGTATGCGGTGATAAGTAGCATGAGGTTTGTAAAACTATCATTACGTGGGGAATTCATGAAATATTAATCACCAGTAGTGTCAGATTTATCTCTTACATTCGAAAAATAAGGAAAACGAGAAATTTTGCTGTAAATTTACGTCTAAATGTTGTGATATGCTTGACAGAAGTTGTTCACTCATAATCTGATTAAACTCACCATATCCACTTTTCGAATAATTGTTGTCTCCTCACCCCAGTCGTCGCCATAGTCCGAGGCATTGTACTGACCACCACCACTCGCCTGCAATAGTCGACAAAGTCCTGTTCATAAAAATTTTACAAATTCTACTATCTAAGCTATCTTCTCTACCTCGTTACTAGTGTTTTTACCGATTTGCACACGTACCAATATCGGAGACTTATTTCCTCGCATCTGTTCCGTTGCCGTAAACTCATTTCTGTCGGCAACTAAATTACAGTAGTTTCAAGCAGAGAAAGCAGAAGAAGCTCTGTTACGATGTTTCTTTTTTGGAACAAAATATAACTGACTTCCATTCCGAGCTTCTTGGCGAGTCACTACAGTAGTCGTTGTATCTGCATACTGTGGCCGCCCCTTACCAGGATAGGAAGTTCGCTGTACATCACTTCTCGTCTTCCTGAAAAGGATAGAAGGCCTTTTCAAATCCCTAGGGAGTGGACGAATGACAACCTCAGCATATCCTCCCGCTCTCGCATTGTCGCCTCCGAAATTGCCTGTGTGCTTCGTTCATTCCCCTTGTGAATCAAAGCATAAGCCGGATGAGCGGTTTCTCTTTGCATAGCGCTATTATCGCCAGCGATTGCTCCTAGCGATTGGTCTTGTCGGTCCTTAGCTGATATCTGCTCTCGCCTGACTGGTGTTTGCTGTTCGTATTCAGTAGACGGCATCACATCGTATCTCCTGCCATTTTCCTGCTCTGACGATGGC